TCAATTTAAATCGTCTGAGATAGAAGACGATAAACCCAAATACACGACAAGGATTGCACTTCTGGAAGATCAGCTGAATAAGAACGATAACAGGACTTTGGTCAGATCAAATATATACCAAGAATATTTTTCGTGAAGTCTCGGCTGAGTATGCCTATAATACAAGAACTGTGGATTTTGAAATCCTAAGATAGCTGAGCCTCTATGAGAAGGGTCCTTGGTACATGAGTGTAAAGTTGTTTAATAGGTTGCCACTTGAAGTCAAGTTAATAGAAGTAAAGAGTAGTTTGAGACAAGTAAAGAGTAGTTGCACAATTGAAAAATTTGTTAATTTGATATAGAACCATATTTCTCAGATTTCCTGTAGACAAGTCAATAAATATTGTGTGACGTTATTTCATTTTCTGTATATACTATTTTGTATTTTTACATTTATATGTTACATTCCTTGAAGTAAAGATTATTATTATTATTAACTACTAATAACTGTAATTTATTTAAATATAATACGATTTAAAAAAAATATGTGTTTATTTTTAATAGTATAAACCTTGGTTTATAAAGTTTAAATATTATAAATTTTAAATAATATCTGAAACATCAATCCATGAGATAAACCTGGTAGAAAAGCCTAACCACTTCACATAAAATTGTTTATTATTATTTTTCTGGTGGTGACCTAGCAATACCTAGCATCAACTAGATCAGTGATTCCCAAAGTGGTCCAGGTGGACCCCCAGGGGTCCACGGGAGACTTGCTGGGGGTCTACGTAGGCGTGAACAAAAAATGGGGGTCCATAAGATGTTAATGGGGGTCCACGAAAATTTATCTGCTTTTGATAGTAAAGAGCAAAAATGTAAGCATAGTTTTTATAAGGGCCTACCTACATTGTTTTAAGTACCTATCTAAGCAGATAATATTTTAATAAGGCAAGCGACTGTTACTTGTCCAAACTTGCGTATTCGATATTACGTACAATTTCGTGTACAGACTTGCAAAGCGCTATCCGCCCGACAATGCTTAATGCTTGTTCAGACATGAACTTGATCACCACTATAAATACTTGATGCCAAAGGCAAACGCATTCATTTGTTTCCGGAATTTCGAAAAAAAGGCGGAATTTGGAAAAAAAGTTGTGAGAAAATTTATATCTGTGTTTGCTAGTGCCGGAGAAAAGTAAGTAACCTACCTTTTTTTGTTATAGTACTTAAGTATTTTGTTTACGTGTACTAGTCGGTTGATCACAACGGCCTGTATAGATAGGTAACTTAGTAACTTACAGATATTTTAATTGTCCTCTTTCGATTTGAAGACAAACACAGCACGTTTTATTCAATTGTTTTTTCACGAGAGAAACACTGCCTCTCTGAAAAGGCCGAATAAGCAATATTGCAGAGCAATTAATTTTGTAATTTTTCTTGCAAATAACTACTAATTTTATAAAACAGTAATTTCATAATCATTTTAAATTGGTTTTGAAGTAACTATTTTATCAAAACTATTCCTTTTCGGAAAGATTTGACAGATTTGTTTAAAAAATTTAATGATATTAACTTGCAGTTACAAGGGGACAGCCTGAATTTAATAAAAACAAAGGGGATAATTTCGGCTTTTCTTGGGAAATTGAAATTTATGAAGCAAAACATTAGTCGGCGCGAATTCTCTCAATTTCCAAACTTGTCGCAGGTAGAATGTATTGATGAGGATATCCATACCTACAGTCAACATTTAAGTGCTCTGCATGATGACTTCAAAACCAGGTTTGAAGATATACTGACGATGGATATACCACCATGGATCATAAATCCATTTGATGAAACGGAAGTGGCCAATGTTGTATTACAAGAGGAGCTGCTCGAGCTAAGCACTAATGAGGAGCTGAAGGTGAAATTTAGAAAAGGCTACCCAACATTTTGGCTGCAAGCAGAAATACCCGAAAAATATCCTGGACTGTGGGAAATCGCAAGGAAATTTTTAATAGCTTTTCCCTCGTCATACCTTGTCGAAAGGAGTTTTAGTGCCGTTACAAACCTCTTAACAAAAAAAAGGAGCAAATTAAACATCACAGAGGGGGGATTTGCGGTTATTGCTCACAAAATAAAGCCAAACATTGATCGTTTGCTGACACTCCATCAGATACATCCTTCCCATTAATTAAAATTATGACCTGAACCTATATTACCTTAATATTTTTCTTGTAATTCTATTCTTTTAATAAATAAAGTGATATAAAATGTACCATTTTTCGTTTTTATTTTACATATCGGAATATAGGGACAGAACTCAGAAGTGACACAATTTTTATTTTTTGGCGACTTTAAGAATGTGGTAGAAATGTAGCAGCAGGGGGTCCACCGAAACCAGTAAAATTTTGAAAGTGGTCCACGAGAAAAATAAGTTTGGGAACTACTGAACTAGATCAATACCAGGAGACTTTGTCTTCTGTAATTCGGCCTCATAAAAATACCCCTTAATTGGTTGACCAATTGATTCTAAGATAATTAAAATTGAAGATTAAAGAAAATTAAAAATTAAAAAAATATGTCTATAACGCTATAAAAGACTAAAAACACAAAGAAATGAATGCAAGTTAATGGTTTATATACGGTTTGTATCGCCTACCAGCGAAAATGGCGGATCTGTCAAAGTCACGTGTTCTGGAATGGTCTATAGGCCAGCAACCTAACCTCGAAACACAAGTAATTATTCTTAAGAATGTATATTACGAGGTAAATTTTATTGTTAAGTAGGTACTTAATCTTGGACACTAAATATAAGAACTTTAAAATACTTCATATAAAATAGGTCAACACCAAAAATTTTTGATCGTGTAAAAAGCGCGAAGGCGGCTCATTTTCAATGCAAATGGCCTAGAAATGATGCAATCAGCTTCCCGGCCGTCGCCACGTACGTCTAATCCACATCCACCGTTGCCAGATGTCTAACGAAATACCTGTTTAATACCAGTTTAATACCAAATAAAACCAGTTTATTACTAAATAATACCAGTTTATTACCAAATAATACCAAATTAGTACCAAAAGTACCAAAAAAATACCAGTATTACCGTGTGTGGTGGTATTTATTGTAAAGTGCTTTTACAACAAATACCACCAGAGGTTTGCTCCTCGGTATATTATGACATAAATTAGGATTGATTGACGTATTCAATTGTTTTCGGTCACTTCCTGTTACACCGGAAATGACTACATTTTTTGATTTTTAAAAGGACCTTCGGTATTTTTTGACTTTATTCGATAGAAAACGCTGACATTTTTGCATAGTGTTTGTTTGAAATAATAACATGCGGTTCATAACAAAAATTTGACTCGAAATACCAAGTGTGTGGTATCAAATTATTCGCAAAAAATGATTTTTCCAAATATGTTAATGAGCCACCATCGTTCCATTTGAAAAAAAAAATATGATTAAAAATACGATTTGGGCCTCTTTTAACCGACCAGGACAGGACACTAAAAAAATTAGACTTTCAAATCTATTTTTCCAAGGCTCCTTGATTAAATATTAGTGTTTAACATAACCATGGCAATCTAGATTGAAATTTAAAATATGATTTTTTATCTAGCGAAAATGTCAAAAGTTGACATATGATATGTCATTTTATTCGGAATGTTACTTTCTATCGAATAAAAATCAATAGTTGTAGTCATTTCCGGTGAAACGGGAAGTGACCAAAAACAATAATTGAATATGTCAATCAATCCTAATTTATGTCATATGCTAACATACCAAATCTCCTTATTTTATCTGAAAAAAAAAATGTTATACGGGTGTGCCACTTTTGAGTTTGGTTAGGTACCAAGTTGTAACAACATTTTTAGAAAATCTTAAATTACATTAACAAAATTCTAACCAAAATGTTACTTAAATAATTTCATTTATATTATACAGAAGAAAAAAAAGTAAATTACATAATAATTGCAAAAGTAATAGTGTTTTGTATTAATTATAAATAGGAACCTTCATGTTATAAATGTTAAAATAGCTTCTGCTCTGAGTTCGTGAAGAACCTATTAAAAGTATTCTACTATAAAAAATATTTAGAAATAACAGATACAGATTTCAACCTTGGCACATCCCTGTTGGTGTTTAATTAATACAGTTACATAACAAATATGTCAATTATTGTAATAAATTGAAATAAATTATAGCTTTTCATGATGGCTGTTGCTTATACAACGCATTATGCAGAAATTCTTCTCAATTATAAAAAATATCAAAACGGATAGCTAGACTTTTCTAGTTTTACGTACATATTTTATTATTTTTTTTATATACTATGTACTTGGTAAATATTAGTTATTAAATTGAATTTAAGTGCAGGTATTTTTTTATTTTAAGTGAACACAATAAAGAAAAAAAAAGATTAACACACGAAAAAATAAAATTTAAAAGTATCATTTTTAACCGCAGCAAACAAAAAACAAACAGCAAGACTGTATTTCAGCAAATGTAAACGATCTAGTAAGTACGAGTTACATTCGTTATATTCAAATTTTATCAGAATTCGTGAACTAACATATTTTAGTTATTTTACACCTTATATTTTATATTCAAATTTGCACCAGCCATGTTCGTGCAATTATCTTGAATTTTGAACAGTGAGAATAAATTTGGTTCTCGAGGCCGTATACGGCAAACTTTACTTTTTTTTTAATGGCTTAAGGAATGTAACATATGAAAGTATGCAAAATTTCAGTTCACCACCGCACCGCGCTGTGAATTATTTTATAAAATGTATTAATAAAATATTTAAGGAATATATTGTATCTCTCATAAGTCAAAAACGAATTCGTATAATTTACCTAAATTAAAGAATTTGCTTCATTTTAAGGTGTTTTTTAAAAAGTTTCAAATCTTTTTTTCTGTAAAATAAAATGGAAAAAACTTATTCATCACTTTTAAAATTTGCATGGAATTTACTATGTTCAGCTCGACGATGCAACACACGGTATATTAATTATTATATTTATTTTACCTTCATCATCGTCAAAATCCTCATAATACGCACTATCCGTCATCGTTTCTTCACCTTCCAATGTTTCTCTAAGATCATAATCGTCCGTTGAATTTGTTATAACACCCTGTATATTATTGGCCAGAGGTGTTCGTACGATACGGCCTGTAGGGAGAATTTCCAACAAACTCGGAGTTCTGGATAAGCCTTTTCCATACAATCTTTTCTCCAAATAGTTCTGAAGTATTTGCTTCGTTATTTGATTTTGTCTTTGTATTTCTCTTATGTCTTGATCTGCCAAACCTGAAATAAAAATATTTATGAAAAAATCTAATTATGCAATTATGGATTATCAAAAAATATGTTTCCAATTATTTAAAAATAATTTTTCATGACCAATAATAATTTTGAAATAGAGAATGATCAAAAAGATTTATGATGAAAGCGTTTTATAGGTATTTTATGGCAGATAAACAGTTATATTAATGTAAAATTACATTAGATTTTTTTAACTGTCAAAGCCAAGATATACTAATTCATAAAATTTTTCTTTTTATTTTATGGATGAATTTATTAACATTACATATTAATTTCAGATATTTCTTTAAATTATACTGTTTTCATTCAATAGTTAGTTAAATAAAGTAGTAATGATAAAAAAGAGTTATAGAAGCATAAATAAGATATGAACTTGTAATTCATATACTTACTAGCGTGTACCAGCGACTTCGTTCGCGTCGAATTAATCATTTGTAATAGTGATGATAAAGTTAAGCAAGAATTTCCATTAACATACAAACTGGATAAAATTTTCTGACATTTATGTCAGCATGAGAAAAAACAATATGGCGATATTATTACATAACTTCGTAATATTTGAGGGGTAGATTCATCTCGTTGGAATTTGACTTTCGAAAAATCCGTTTGCCAAAAATAAGCTTTTTACGTCAAGCAGTTTAAGCAGAATCGTGGTTAAGAAATTACCCAACTTTTTGGAACACCCTGTATGATTTTTTAAAAAATTTCAAAATATGTAAAAAAACCAAATAAAGTATGCTTGTGAAGCGTTTTCCCGAAAGACTAACCGTTTTTTAAATAATAAATATTGTAATATTTGAGTGGCGTTTTCACCCTCTTGGAATTTGAGATTCGAAAAACCCCTCCTTATCAAACCTCTACACCCCACAGTCAATCCGATTGCCAAAAATCAGCTCTAAACGTCAAGCAGTTTAAGCAGAATCGTGATTACTCAATGGTCATATTTTATGAAACACCCTGTATAAATTTATAAAAAATCTTAAAATATGTAAAACAACAAAATAAAATATACGTGTTTAAGAGTTTTTCCGAAAAACTCACCGGTTTTTAAATAAAAAATATTTTAATATTTGAGGGATAGTTTCACCCCCTTAGAATTGGAGTTTCGAAAAACCCCTTTTTACCGAACCTCTACACCCTAAAGACAATCTGTTTTTACGTCAAGCGTTTTAAGCAGGATCGTGATTAATAAATGACCAGATTTTTCGAAACACCCTGTATACATTTTTTAAAAATCTTAAAATATGTAAAAAAACAAAATAAAATATATCTACGTGTTTAAGTAAGTGTTTTTTCGGAAACTTGATCGGTTTTTAATTAAAAAATATTGTAATATTTGAGGGGTGGTTTCACCCTCTTGGAACTGGAATTTCGAAAAATCCCTTCTAATCGAACCTCTACACCCTAGAATCAAACTGTATGCCAAAATTGAGCTTCTTACGTTGAGTGGTTTGAGCACGATCATGATTAATCAGTATGTCAGTCACTTAAGGATTTTATATATTAGCACAGAATATCTAGCAACGCAGAGTAGCTATCTAGCAACGCTTGCGTAGCTAGATATTCTGTGATATTAGTATAGATTTTTTTAAATGTATTTTTAATAATTATAATGACTCAATCTTTATTATTGAAAATCTCGAACATTATTTTCCAATAACCAGTTAAGAAAAATTAATTGTTTTTTTACTTTACTCAATTTTATATACAGTGTACTAATTTGGTTGCAATTGCAAGTTTGTTTGCATATTAGTAAAGATAGAACCTTGTTATATCTTCACTAATATACAGGGTGCTACAAATTCCGGGTACGAGCATTGGTATTAGGGTATCTCGGTAACCCTAATAGATATGAACATTGGTGCAAAGTTGCGCTCTGGGATGCCATCAACCATACCAGGATGCAAATCATACCAGGATGCCATCAAAAAAGTTTTAAAAATTTCAAGGATTACCGAGTTATTTGGAAAAATGGATTTTCTTGAAAATCAATTTTATTTTTTCCTGTCGTTACATTTTAGAAAATTAAAGAACTAATAGCACATTCTCATAGCCACTTTATTAGGGTATTTAATAGTATTTTTAGATTTTCAAATTATCTCATTTGACTCCATCACGGTTAGTGGTTAGGGTTCAGAACCGGGAATTCCCGGTACTTTCGGTAACAATAAATTATTTTTGTTACATGCCAAAGTGTTACAAACTCTTGACTTCTGAAGTTCTTTTGAAGTTCCTATAATGTATATTAACAATTATTGAAGTCTAAATATGTGATTTTATGATTTAGTATGATGTTACTCAATATAATAGTTATACCGTATGATCGAATAAAAACGGCGTCAGCAATGGCTATGAAATGAAGATCGCTGTCATTTTATATGTAAAATTATATGGGAAATGTCATCGATCGTCATTTCCAAGCCAACTGGACGCCGTTTTTTTCGATCATACGGTATTTGATGTTATGTTTCATAGGCATTTGCATTTTTAATTCAAAAATATAAGTCTTTCTTTTCAAATTCAGTTAAGTTGGTTTATCTTTTTGTGAATTTTTAGTTATTTGTGTTTTTTCGCGTCTGTTCATTTGCGTTTATATTTGTGTTTATGTTTTTTCCAATTTTCGCACGACTCGACTGTTGGAAAAAATCAACAACTATACTTTTGAAAACCATCCTTGGATTGCTGATTGACAAACTGAACCATTATCGAACAAAAATTAGCTAGTACTGAAAGTACCGAGAAACCCGAAAAATCCCGGTTCCTTAGAAACATGGTACCGAAATTCCCGTTTCCGAAAAACAGCTCCGCTTCTGCAAATCCTAATCACGGTGTCGACATGAGTGTTCTTTCTCCAAAAAAATTTCGAAATGAAGATTGATGATATTTCATATGTAAATTGTATGTTTAGTGAAATTCAGTAACTGTGCCCAACCTAACGCCACAGATTATAAACTTTGTTTTTTCTTTATTGTTTTACGTGGTTCCAATTTTCGGAATCGGGCACTAGTTAGGTTACTAGCGTGTTACTAGTTTGCGCACATAGCACGCCCACTTATGGCCTCTAAAATTGTGCACAGCGCCTGACCGGCACAATTATTAGAGAGATATCGGCAAACCGAATAGCGTCATGCAGTATTTACGCGTACCTTATCATGGTTAGGATATGCGCGAGTCAATTTTTAACGCAACACCCGCTAATAACGTTACCGCCTGACGTAATTTGCGGATCAATTACACCAAGCGCTATTTCTAAATAACGTTTAAACATTGCTTATATGGGCATGTGCGGGTATTTGACAACCGGGGCCGGCCGGCGAGATCTTTTATTTTAGGTTATGTTTGAATTGTTTTGAATTATTACTTTAGTTTTATTAGGTAATTTGATATTTAAGTAGCTGGGATTAGTTTTAATTAAATAAATATGGCCCAAAATATGAAATCCACCTCTTCCAATATTAAAGAACCTATAAAGAGGCCTAAGTTTACAGCAGATGACGACTTAACCCTTCTAAGAGATTTTGTTGCTTGTTGCCCTAAACCCACTGGCAGACGTTGAACAATAAAGCACTGGAAATAAGCACTTTAGACCTTTAATCTTAAAATACCTAGTAAACAAAACAATTTCAAAGTTTTAAATTCAAAGTTAGGTTACGTTTAAATAGCGGACGCGACGCGAACAGAATTCTTTCCGACCCGATAACTATAAATGAAGAGAGTTAAGACCACCTCACGTAAAGGAAATAACACCTGGCCTTATTAACGTCTATGCACGCTATTCGGTTTAGCAATATCTCTCTATTACGCTGTTTATTGTTATTTTACGCGAGTTTATTTTTGCGCACAGGAAATTTTACTCGTTTGCACATCGTCATAAAAAATAATTTTTGTACCAATTAGGGCCAAGATTTTTATCTGTATACTTATAGGATACCTAATCTGTGCTAACGCTGCTTTTTTATCATCATTTATAAATTTCTAAATAAATATTAATAAAGAAATAAAGAAAAAACTATTCAGACTATTTTGATTACAATTTCATATGCTTCATTGGCATATTTATTAGAAAGTGGCATTAATATTATATAAATAGATATAATTTCTTATTATATAAATTATTAATAGTTCATAAGTGTAACGCAAGATGAATACAAGATCATTCATAAACATCCAAATTCGGAAACATCAAAGTCGTTTAATTTTTTAAATAAATAATTTATTCGTTTGGAAAGTCTTTGAATCTAAATTGATGTTGATTGTTTAGTAATTGATATAATATTCTACAAATTAATGCTAATTACTAACAAAACGACTTAATATTTACAAATTATCTATAGGTATATCTACGCAGGAAAGGCGTATTTCTAGATAACAATATGATTAATTGAAAATACGATGTGATTTAAAGATAAAAAGTAAACGAATTAACAAAGTGTTATAAAATAATTAGATAATTAATTACTCGTCACTCAATTAATTGTGTGATCACTCAAATATCTTTAATTCATTATAGTTAATAAAACATGTTTTAAATAAAGTTTGACTAATCCCATGTAATTGATAAAAATCAAATCGTTGCACACGATAATCTCATTTGCTTCTTATACATAGACTTTAAATAATAATTTAGGTCTATCTGCATTTATATCAATTATATCTGTATCTCTATCGAATTAAAATTGAAATACAATTTCTACAATACAGGGTGTCCCAATATTCTGTGGACATAGAACTACTAGATACGCATTTTTGGAATCAAAATAAGTTCATTGGACACAATTTACCTCTATACAAAAGTGCTTCGTTTGACCGCCAGAGGGCATGAAATTTTAAAAAAATAAACACATTTTTTAAATATTTTAAGAACTGTTATTCCGATTTGAATGAGATTTTGGGTGTCTATGTTTTGCTAAGTACTGTTACATTTGACTTTCACAAAAACCAAGAAAAAGTACGACAAGGATGAAAAATACCCCCAACCTTATATA